CCCCCGCCACTTCCGCCGCTGCCCCCACCGCCACTTCCACTACCGCCGCCGCTACCGCTCCCACCACCGCAGCCTCCAGTGGCAAAACAATCTGTCGTTTGATTATGAACAGCTACAGCCAAAGGAAAACGCAAACAAATCGCCAAGTTACTAGGGGTCCCTTGAGAGCAGTGGTGGCTAGGTACTGAAAGGTGAAAGAGTCTGAGCGATCAATATATTGTACTGTTTTTTAAAACACACCCTCTGAGAACGGCTACTTGAGCACCCTTGACATCTATCAAGTGCATATCTTCCTTGACGACGACATACTCCGCGACCACGAATGAATGAAGTTTCAGACAGCAGTCGCTACAAGGCCGATTTATTCGAAATGGGTGATTCAATAAGTCATTAAATCTGACAGAGCAAAAAGACCTTCATAAAATTCAATGTGATAAGGAAAAATTCCCTACTAATACGAAAGCAATTCAAAAAATCAATGAACGAACGACTCCTCGATAACGTCAACAATGAATTAATCAGACAATCATAGGTTTTGCTTCATTATCTCAAAATTTTCATTTTTATGAAATAAAGTTGTCTTTTCTCCTTTTCGATCAATCGGTCATTCGATGCATTTCAGTTCCGATTTTTCCCAGATCCAAAAACATCCACAAAATAGGTAAGAACAGAAAACAACCGCGCTCCCCCGAGCACCTCGCATCCGGATTACGGACGTGTACAAGCTAGCCTGCCAGTCCGGTGAAGCGAAAATAAGGTGCGATGTTGTCGGGGGAAGAGCAACCTCGTTAAGATTCCAGCCTTACAAACACGCACGTTCAATCACACAAAGCACAATTAAAAACTAATAATAATAATTAAAAAATATACTTTAAAACAAAAATATATAAATGAATAAATAATAATAATAATAATAATTAAAAAATAGACTTAAAAACATAATATATAATTGAATAATAATAATATGATTCAATAGTAAATTAATAAATAATCGTGAAAATTCCTGACTTGTACCCATACTACCCAATACCATAAAGATAGATAACAACAGAAACTTCCGCAGACCTCACGAACAGCGAAACACAGGGCAAGAGGTACAGCAACGTGAAGATTCAAGGCTACAAACACCCAATAACGCAAGACAATAGACTGGATCAAAGAGGAACGCACGCTTAATGTCGATTAAACACTGAGTGAAAAAAAACGAGATCAAACACTGAGCATATCAGATTGGTTATCCCGGTCAATCCGAAATTTACCAAATAATCAGAACCCTCCCCCCCAAAAAAAAGAACCACCATTTAAAAACGTAACGCCGAAGGAAGACAGACAACAAGCAACAGGCGTCACCTTCGGCCCTCGTCGAAAAGAGGAAATTAACAATAATATCCCCCTCAAGAAAAAGAAAAAGAAAAAAGTTATTTTAACTCTAGAGACGAAATAACGAAAGGCGCCACCTTCGCCCCTTGTCGGAAAGGGTAATAAAGAAGGGGACATTAACAATAACTACCCCACTTCACAAAAAAAACTTCCCTTGATGCTACAAACGAAATATCAAAAAAGGTACCACCTTCCGCCTTTGTCGATAGGGCCCCTCTCCACGACTAACCAAACGCGCAAAATGCAAATGAATCTATCATTCGATCATGGAAAGATGCACCGCTACATGGCGAGTGGAGCCACGCTTACAAACAAAGGGAAATTAGTAATAGTACCCCCCCTGAAAAATAAATGTGGGTATACTCTTCGCCACCACAAATGCATCACCTTGTCAACCAAAAAATAAACAAAGGTATACGACTACATTTACACTGAGGGCATACTCCCGCTTCACACCTTTCCTACCTATTTCTGGACGGAATTCCGGCCAGAAGCATCCAGGCGTGGCCGTAAATGCAGTTATATACATTGAAAATATTAGAGCTTTTTTCAATTCCACAGAGCCCTCACGACTGACGAGAACCTGCATATCATAGATTTTTGTTTTTTTTAACCATATACTAGATTTTACCAGATTGCCTCTATAGATATTGTCATTAAAAAATTCCATGCTCATATTCCATAGTTCCCACGGCATATTCGCTCGTCGGGACACTTTCTTTTTTTCTCAAAAGGAAGGAAAAGGTTACGTCGTTGAGATATGATCGCCAAGCCTACCGCCCCACGTCATTCCTGGTATTTCATTGATCTAGTTCGATCTGGATTTTAACTGAGGTCAGCGTTTCAACGGGTTCGTGAACGTACACCTACTGGGTTAGGCCGGTTGGTTCCACAACCCTTTCGATACGCGTGAGGAAGGGCTTCGCTACACTACTCTCACAAATTGTGCAAAATGAACATGGAAAGATACACTGCCATATTTTTTGTCATTTGTGCATGTTGTGAGTTACTGTGTGGAGCGAGAGGCCCCAAACCCCGCTTGTACTTGCATTGGAACCGGAAGAGTAACCAACCGACCTAGCTCATTTTGATACACCCATGATCTTCTAAAATACAGACCGAAGCTCGAGTCAAAATGAAGCCAGAACCGGAAGAATAGCAAAAGCCGGGACTACCCGGATTTGTTTCACTCGCGCTATAACAATAACATGCTGTACAACGAACGTAAAATGCCACATCACGAGCAAGTACATCGGATGTAGAAACGCCACATAAAGAGCAAATGACACGACCATAAGAACTGCAACCACATGCTCTCAGGTTAGAAAACAAACGAAACACAACAAAAGATCCAGAAAAAAAGATAAAAGGCAAAAAAAAAAAGACATGTCGAATCGACCGAAAGATGGACGAACGCCTTTACCATCTTCCCCCGACCATAACGTACTCCGATGATTCCGGTGAGTTTCAGACGAAATGAGGGTACGCTACCGCCGCTACGCTGTCGGGGGAAGATGAAAGTAGTCATCAATTCAGAGAGGGAAAACAGAGGGCATATCAGCGGTGGCACATCACTGCACTGTGGAAATACAGACCAAAGTTCAAAATCCAGATACAATGAATGAGAAAATAGGAAGAATTCCTAGCGGAAACGAGAGGGGACGGAGGGTAGCGCAGGCGGGGAGAAAGGAAAAAACAACCACGTCCCACTGAATAAAGGCGGGAACCCTGAGGGAGACGGGAAAGACGAAACAAGGGGCGTCATTGCACTACCCACATGCACAAAGACAACTTATGGCGGCGTATCTTTTGATGTTCTAGCGGCAGATTCATTCCTAATTTGCACAACTGGCGAGTAATGGAGGGGTGCCGGCATCTAAGGTAAACGAGGACGACGAAAAAGTACAACGCTCGAGGCCGAAACAAGGGATACAAACAAAGATATACATGCAAGACAGTCACATCCAGATCCCGATCACTATCTGCCAAGATATGGACACTCACATCCAGAACTCCTGATGAAGATATGGACACTCAAATCCAGATCCCGATCACTACCTGGCAGACGATTAGAGAAGAGAAGCGAGGATGGGCAAAGGAAGGGAAACAAAGGTACTCGATCCACTACTCTCCACATGGACAAAAGACAAAAAAACATGGCGGTGAATCTTCCGTGTTCTAGCGGGACATTCATTCGCATTTAACACATTTGGGTGAGTGATGGGGCGACGCCCAGGGGCGCACAACGTGCTTACAACACGAGAAGAACAATGGATAATATGAAGGATTTCAACGAATGAAATGATTTCAATGAATGAAATTAGGAATGATGTCAGCAGTTCATCAGCCACTACCTGAAGGATCCGAAATCGGAGGAATTTGTGTAGCGCCAGGGTTCTCGTTGTAAAGCTCTCCTCCTCCGGTCTGACCTTCCGCCGGCGCGAGCAATACAAGGACAAGTGCGATTACGAAAAGAGCCGGGAGAAGAAACCGCCTGCACGTTCCCGATGGCGACGCCATTCTCGAAGCACCGCAGCGCTCTCTCTCTCTCTCTCTCTCTCTCTCTCTCTCTCTCTCTCTCTCTCTCTCTCTCTCTCTCTCTCTCTCGGTTTCTCGCTCTCGCTCGCTCGCTCGCTCGCTCGTTCGCTCGCTCGGCCACAGAGACGGGCACGAGGCAAAGTATGTACCGACCGGAATAAGGTGGAAGGTGGAAGGTGGAAGGTGGAAGGTGGAAGGTGGAAAGTGTTGATGTTGAACTCCGCACTTGCCCTGCTGCGGGACGGCTTGTTGAACTACATCTCACTATCATGCATTATACAGCGACGGGCTGCTCCGCTACGCGACCCGTTGGGAGGAAAGATAGGGTTCCCGACGGAGCGAGGGGGAACGCAACGCGGCTCGGCGGGGCTGAAAGGACGTACGGCGTGGCTTGTGCTGCCAACCCGCAAGTCTGTAAATTCCAAATCCGCATGCCAGGGGATACTCACACTAGGACTTTTTTCGACTTAGCTCTGGACGAGATTGACGCCAGATGTATCCACATTTGGCCGCAATCGCAGTCAGATGCAGTTTGAAAATTGCTGGTGTGAGTATGCCCTCTGTGAGTTCCAAATACCAACATCGAAAAGAGCGAAGTACGGACAAACGTTACCGAAGCTTGAGATCGAATAACGACACCTCTTCAACGGCTAATACGGGCCCCCTCCGTCTCCATGAAATCGAGCGAACAGTTTGATGTATACCACGATCGCGTGTGGGACGGTTGAGGGGGCAGGGGAGGGGTGGATGCGGGTGGGTGGGGGTGGATGGGGTTGGAGAGGGGAGCAGAGTAGGGGGGAGAGAGAGAGAGAGAGAGAGAGAGGCGTGGGGGGGAGAGAAGTTCGCTGGCTTGAGCAGCGCTGAGTGTAGATGTGGTTGGCTTTCCGCCACTTGACCGTTGGCGTCGGATGTGATGCGCAGAAGCCTAAGGAAGTCGGGATGCGTGAACTAGCCATACTCCCCTTCACTGCCTTATGGGCGTCGCTCCACCAGATATGCACAAAAGACAAAAAAGTATGGCGGCGTATCTTTCCGTGTTCTAGCGGAATATTCAATCTCAATTTGATCATTTGGTGAGTACTGGACCCAAGCCCTATGCTATACTTGACACTCAACTCATGTCCGCTGGGCCTTGCAATATTTCCGCGTATACCGACAGGTTTGTTGGTACACCCATGACCTGTTGAAATGAAATCCTAAGTTCGAATCTGGAACTGTTGAAATGAAAACCGGGGTTCGAATCTGGAACTAGTAAGATACTCCTAAACTGGGGATATCTCAAGAACTTCACCTTTTTATTAGGAAGAAAAGAAAGGAAAAAGAAAAGAATGACACCTCTGCATAAGAAACTACCCAAGGCTATCTATGGTCAGAATGCTCCAATGCTACCGGTAGCATTCAAATAGGTTGAACCACAAGTAGCCTTGCAGAAGCAACAGCTCACATTTGCTGGGCACTGGCAGACGAGAATAGCTAATGGTTGAGCTCTACTCTCTTACCTTAGGGAAGTTCCCTTTCTTAGGGCTCACACATGTACCCATAATGGCAAAAGTTGTGTCGTTCTCTAGAATCGCAAATTTGCGTAGTACATCGACTATACATCACGGGCTGGTCGCACTACTGGCCCATTCCTAGTGCAAACCAAAAACGACACAGCAGTCGCACAGAAGGAAGCACAATTTTTGATCCGTCGTCCGTTTTTTTGTGGTTTTGCCTCCTTGATCCAAAACCCGAAATCTGTTATTGCGGGGAAAAACAGAGGCGCCTGCAATTTTTTTAAACCGTGATTCCCCCTAATGTGGAAAACCCGGCTTTTCAAGCCACGCAGCTCGTTTCATGGGGGGCCGGTATCGACTGGATCCGTCCCAAGGAGGGGACCCTCCCGGCCGCATCACGCAGGATTTTGCAGGACTTCGTCGTAGAGGGCTACCGCTCCTGCCGAGTGCGTCAGCCATACCTCTCGCGAATCCTTATGACAGGATAGGGTCATGCAAGATACAACTTACCTCCACCTGCGGGAGCTGTCACCATCCCTTGGGTGGGCGTTGTTTTGACAGCTCGCAAACGGCGCGCCATTCTATCGAATAAACTGACGAGGCGCCGGTGAGCGAAAAGGGACAGAGCAAAGATAATCCGTCACGGCGCGCCAAAACATTTCATGGGTATCCCATCCCCGTGTACACATTTCCTTTTCTTTTCTTATCGGGTATTGACCCCGCGTCTGTCTTTTCTAAATTTGTTACTTGAACTCTAGGGTTGGGCACCCAAGTGGTTGTCGAAAGGGCAATTGACGCTACATGAAGGGAGAAGGCCGTGACTACAAGGACGTCAGAGCTACCATTCTCTTTCGCCCCCACCATCAAAGCGATGCACGACGACATAAACAAAAGGTTGTCGCGCGGCCTATAGGCCGTGCAATCTAGGGGGGCTCGAGTTAAAGGCCTATCCAGAAAAAAAATTATCGAAGAGAACCTACCATATTGCAACCCCTGTAGGACTTAACCCCGCTCCTACGCCGTGCGTGCACGACATGCCTTTTAACTAGGCTAAGCGAGTGTCCATATAATATGAGAGGGAACCGCGAAGATAGGTATGGCGGGACCAATAATTCCCCGTCGCTCCTACCGCCAGAGAGATGCACGACAACCTAAAGAAAAGGAAGTCCGTTGCGCGAGTTAGGGTCCGACGGTTGAAAACAACTGCATCATACATAGCTCGAAAGAGGTGTGATAACAGGGGAAACTAAAGACTCAAATGAAAAAATTATCCGGGAAAACATACCGGTAAAAGCATACCTTATTACAACCTCTATAGGGTTAATCTCGTGATTGCAACATGCGTATGCGCCGTACCGTTTCACTAAGCTAACACCTTCCTTGGGTGGAGCGGAAAAATGAACGACGAGAAAATGCCTCGGAAACGCTGGTGAGCCACCTAGCATATACCCTTCTTGTAGGAATGACGCTCCTACCTATACCATGGTAGGAGCTAGCCCAGTAGGTTCAGATGTGGGATGACAAAAAGCGGATGTATGCATCGAACCTCACAACCTCCGATCGTCAGGCAAACTCCCATTTTTGGCAGTAACGCGAAGCACGAGGAGAGGATGCCTCGGCAGTACTAGCGGAGCACCCTCGTCTACCAAGACAAATACTGGCGGCGCTCTTACCCACATTGTGCTAAGAGCTAGCCCGATAGGTTTCAGGGGCGGACTGACAAACGTCAGGCGCAAAGATCGAGGCCAGGCATGCCCTAACCAACGAACTAACTCCTATTTTTTGCACAGTGGGAGGGCGCGACGCAAGTTCGTCTGGCAAAGGTGTGCAATAATTTTCGTCGTCCGATCTGGAGTATCCCACGACCGAGATCCTCCGCGTGACTTGTCTCTTCGCATGATCAAAACAAGGAAGGTCGTCATAATCAATTGGGGGGAGAAACAAGAAAAACGAAATAAAAAACGACGATGGTTCAAATTTTCCCTACATGGCCAAGAGTCGAACCGCGGGCAGCGGAGTAAGAAAAACAGAAAACACGTTAAGAAAAACGGGCAGAAGAAAATAAAAATAAAAATGAAAAAAAAATAAAAATGAAAAAAAAAAAAAGTGAAAAAATTCAAAAATTTCCTCAACACGCCTACACGTTGGGATTCAAGTTGTGGACAATGGGGAAAGAGAAAAAGGGAGCACGAAAATGGAGTAAGAACAGCAAAAAGAAAATAGACAACCTACCAGATGCCAAATGGCGCGTGTGAGGACGACGCATATATTTTGACTCGGCAGGCTACAACTGACCCGTTTCAAACGGATCTCAGTTTAGTTTTTTGCCCACATTGATGGCGTGTATCTTTTCGTGTTCTTGCGGAAGATTCATTCTCATTTTGCACATTTGGTGAGTAGGGGAGTAGAGCCCAACACGAAGGGCCTTGTTTCGCGACAGGGACTCGAACCCTGGCATGCGGGATGGCATGACGGCCTTACAACTGACCCCGCCTAACGGGGCATTCTGTGGCCGCAACTAGGGTGGAGCAACGACCATGATGGCCCCTCCCTTGGCCTACGCTGGACAATCATGAACCCCTTGCAAACTCATCACCCCCGACATTGGATCTTTCTGATCCTGAGGGTGGGGCTGAGTGTCGGGAAGAAAACAACAGCTCGGGAGAACAAGCTGACGGAATTATGAAGGGGATTCCCGCCATTGAGATCGACGGATCTCGTGGCTGGGAACCCACAAAAGAGAGAGGGGGACTTAGGTTGATTAAGGAACTAAGTCCAACCTTTCCCCGACATACCTGCACTGGGAAAAATAGCGAGGTACGTCAAACTTTAAAAACTCATAACTCATAGAATAATGGTAAAAAAAATACGAAAAAAAAAATTTCATAAATGAAACAACGTCGGCCATCTCGTGAAAATTTAAGATGACTGATTAAAATAACCCTAAATAGATAAAAAGGAGAGAAGGGGGAATAGTCAAAATCAGTCGCACTAAGTGTGTTGTTCTGGTGCGACGACGTCACACCGTCGATCTCGCAAAAATCGAGGGTCCGGAGACATCTCGAATTATTGTCCAAGGGGAAGAGTGTCGAGCACTCTCTCCACCTCGACTATAAAAGCAGGCAGTGCCCCAACAGTTGCCACACAAGGAGCACGTGCTATTGGAGTGGTCACACACTCTAAGGCATTCGTGAGTTATGGGAGTGTTGCGGATGTGCTGTTGGGAGTCTACTAGAGGAGCTGCTAGAGCAAGGAGGAGGAGGCTGAGCCACCACACCCACAAGGTGGGGGCACCTTGCATCCACTTTTGGTTGGTACCGGACCTACGGCACATGAGCTATGGACCACTCCATTGGAGTGGGACCCCACCTCCGGGTTCAAGGGAGCGACATTTGGACCTAGCTTCGACAAAGGACCGTGTTTCATTATTTTTTAGATTGGACGTGGCCAACGTGAGGGTGCATGCTACCGGAGTGGTCAAGCTACAAGGCTACGTCCGCATGTGGAGGAGCGTTGCCAGCCTTGTCGTACGTGGGCGTCGAGATAACTTTGTGGAGGTGCCGTGGGACGGTCACTGGGCCTGGTTTTGACGCCAAGGCGGTGCCTTTTATTTTGAAGAAGGGATCTCGGTTTGCAGCACAACAAGGTGACGGTACCGCTCACCCATTTATTGGCGGCTCACGGCGGTAGCGTCCTTTATTTTTTTGTGGCATTTCAAGTATGTCGTCGCGGTCCAAAGAAGGTACCGAGTGCGGCACGAGTT